CCCATCCTGCCTGCGCCGACACAGGATGCCTTTCTAAACTAAAAATATTTTATTGTTATGGGGTCTAAATCCCTCTATTGCCTGCCCATTCATGTATCTATCAAGACACCTCTTAAATGTTGCTACTGTATTTGCTTCTACCAACTCCTGTGGCAGCACATTGCAAGCATTTACAGCCACATAAAAAAAAATGCCTTTCCACATCTCCTTTAAACTTTCCCCCTTTTACCTTAACTCTATGTCCCTGAGTAATCCACATTTATACCCTGGGAAAATGACTCCGACTATCCATTCTATCCATGCCTTCTCTTAATTTCGTAAACTTCTATCAGGAAGTCCTCACGAGACAACCCGGCCATTCTAGGTTTTACTCTGGTAAGCCTTCTCCAAATTGTTTCCACCACAGTTAACACTCTGCAATCTCATAATTTAGGCAGTATGCTTCTTTAGCATTTTTTCTGTCAAGATGGACAATTTCACATTTTCCCACAGAATACTCATTCTATCCCATTTGCCACTCACTTTATCTATATTTTTTGCAGGCTCCTTCTTTTTGCTTCATAATTGACTTTACCTATCTTTGTGTCATCAGCAAATTTGGCAACCAAACTTTCTGTTCGTCATTCATGTCATTTGTGTGAATTGGAAACAGTTGAGGCTCCAGCACCAATCCCTGTGGGGCATCATCACTGCATGTTGCCAACCTACAAATACTCATTTATGCCTACTCTCCCCATTCTGTTAGCCAGCCAATCTTCAATCCATGCAAATATGCCATCCTTACATCATGAGTCATACAGCTTTTACTTTCCATAATAACCTTTAATGTGGCACTTTATCAAATACCTTCTGGAAATCAGAGTACAGTACATCCAGCTGTGCTGTTTATCCACAGTACATGTTACTTCCTCAAAGTATGTCAATAGATTGATTAAACACAATTTCCATTCATAAAATCATGCCCGATTACCTTGAGCGTGTTTAAGTGCCCTGCTCTTACTTCCTCGATAACAGCAGTTATCTTAACTGGCCTATAGTTTCCTGATTTCTGTCTTCTTTTTCAAATATAGGAGCTACATTTGATATCTTCTAATCTACTGGGTTCTCCCTCAAATTGAGTAAGTTCTGAAGAATTAAAAGCAACACATGAACTATCTCACTAATCACTTCTTTAAGGACCATGGGGTCAAGTCCATCATGACCCTGTAGCCCGCAGCTTCAATAATTTACTCAGTGCCGCTTCTCTGGTGGTTGTAATATTCCTGATGTCCTTCCTCCTTCCATATTTCTGATATATGGCTGCTGCTGAGATGTTACCTGTATCTTCTATGACAAAGACTGATGCAAAATACCTGTTCAATTTACCTGTAATCTGTTTATTTCCCTTTGTCAATTCTTCAAACTCATTTTCTCTAGGAATAACACTGCTAATTTTTCGTTCTTAAGTATCTATATAAACCAGAAATATATCTCTTAATATTTCTGGCTAGCTTTCTCATAGATTCATAGAATCCCTCTGGCGTGGAAGCAGGCCATTCAACCCATCGAGTTCACACTGCCCCTCCGAAGAGCATCCCACCCAGACCCACCTCTCTAGCCTATCCTATCCCCCCTGTAACCCTGCATTCCCCATGGCTAATCCACTTAACCTGCAATCCCTGGATACTACGGGTAATTTAGCATGGCCAATCCACCTAACCTGTACTCTTCGGACTGTGGGAGGAAACCAGAGCACCCAAGTGGAAACCCAAGCAGACAGGGGAAGAACATGCAAATTCCACATAGACAGTTGCCTGAGGCTGGAATCAAACCCGGGTCCCTGGTGCTGTGAGGCAGCTTCTATGGAGGTGCGCCTTTCCTATGAGGCCTTTACTTAATTCTACCTCATTGCACAATATCGAAGCTAGTGTAGCCTTGTTAAGTTAAAGCAAGGTAAAGTCACTGCAGTCCCAGAGAACTATAGGGCTGCTCCCTCATCAGCAAAAGTCAACTTGTGGTGGTTGAACCTGAAGGTCACCACGCCTCAGGCTACGGGCAAGATTGAGGAGGTGGGATTTTTATGGTAACCTCAGCAAATACAGGAATTGAAACTGTGCTGTTAGCATTACTCTGCATCCCAAACTACCCAGCCAGTTAACTCTGCTAACCAACCTCAATGTAACCTACTGTCTGGTTGACTCCTGAACATGTTGCTCCAAGAAAGTATCTTCAAAAGAGTCTATAAAGCACACATCAAGACTACCTTGTCCATCTGGCTTTTCGAGTCTATATGTAGATGACAATCACACAAGCGACTACCATGCCTGTCCAACAAATTCTCATGATCATTCTCTCAGAGCTGCCTTGCACCCAGCTCAACTTCATTCTCTAGCTCGTTCAATGCTCTAACAAGAAATTTTTTTCTCTTTCAGACATTAAGGAATGAAGCTGCAACAACTCTAATACGCACATACCTCTGGAACCTCCCTCCCTGCCTCCCTTCCACCCCTTCCCTCTGATTCCATCTTTTCTCCTGACCTTGTCTTGTTGATAAAGCTATTATCCCTTACCTCCTTCCATCCTTCCACCCTCTGATGCTGAATATTCCATACTCAGCAAAGATCTTGGTTTTATCCCTTTGCGCACCCACCTTAATGAATTTTGAACTAGACATGACATTGGGCTCTTCTTGCGTTGCCTCTGCATCCATGCCCATTTCTTTGGGCAGGAGTCCTCTCCTTGTCACACAGATCCCCTTTATCCACCTTCAGTACTCTCCCTTCACCTGGACCCCTCCCTCTGGCCTTTCACCTGCACTCAATTTGTTCATTGAGGACCAATGACGTGACCTCAAAGCACCTTAATTTCTCTGCCCACAAACCCCTCACCCATTTGAACCTAAGTCTCTCTGAACTGACTGCACTCCATGCTCTCAGATCCAATCCTGACTTTGCCATCAAACCTGCCGTCAAGGGTAATGCTGTTGTTGTCTGGCACATCAACCTCAAATTGTGAAGGCTGTACGCCAGATCTCAACACCTCCTCCAACCATGAAGCACAAAGCCATTGTGTCTACAACTGCAGATGACCTCATCTCATCTGGGGATCTCCCCCAACAGCCTCCCAGCTCATGGTCCCACAGCTCCATACAGCCCACTTCTGCCTTCTCCCCAAAATCCACAAACAGGACTGCCTAGGCAGAACCATTCTTTCTGCCTGTTCCTGCCCACAAAACTTATTTCTTCCTACCCTGACTCGATGTTTTTCCCCCTTATTCAGTCCCTCCCCACTTATGTCCATGATTCTTCTGACACTTTGTCAGTTGGATTACAGTGGCATCCCACATGCTGCCGCTGTGACCCATCAACTGTCCTGAAGTATCTGAAGGAACTATGTAATTACTTTATTCATTTATATATTCATTTCTGCCTTTATCTATTTTATTAACCTTACCACCAGGTGCAATACTATTTTGAGAAAGAATGGACCGTAGTCACTTACCAGATACTCATTAAGTACCTAGCTTCTTCTGTAAGAATCAATTCATGGAGGCTGCACAAGTTAGAAAAAGTAAAAACAAACGAACACCCCTTTCCCTTTCTTCCCCAACTCCCTTAATCACGAATTCCCTGAACTCTATTGTGAATCTCACTCAAGTAGAATTTCATTGCCAAAACAAGTACAACTTATGGTTGTTACTGATTGACCTAGTTAAAACAGTGAATGAGAATTGGTGACTTTGATTGAACACCAGAAAATAGAAACAGCAGTCTAGACAACATCTAGTTTGGGATAATAAAGAGATTTCTGAGCAAAACAAATCCAAATTTAAACAGTCTTCTACGAAATAAGAACTTGAGACCAAAATAATTTTCAAGTTTACACCAAGTAATGATATAACAACATTGTAGAGTGCATATATAGATAAACATACACTGCTGGAACAGGCCATTCTGGTCAGCTGCATTGGCATTTACACTTCAGTTAAGTCATTTCTCGTTCTCCTTCAGTAAGCTGTATATTTCTTTTCCCATATATATTTATCTAGTTTTCCCCTCAATGTACCTATTCTATTTACCTAACTGCTCCCTGTGATTACAAGCTCCACCTTTTTATTTCTCTCTGGGTAAAGAGTTTTTTCGCCTTTTTTGCAAGTGCAAACAGTCTGTCTACTTCATTAAAATGGTTCATACTTAAGACCTGCTACATCACCCTTCAACCCAATCTTCCCAAGGGATAAAGAAAAGAGGCCCAGATAGTTTTACCCTCACAATTCCTATATCATTTCTACAAATCCTTTTGATATCCTCTCTGCTGTCTCTATACCTCTTTTATAATATGGTTTTCAGAACTGCACACTGTACTGAAGAATGGTCAAAACATTAACAAATGTTTAACTCTCTCCTATTCAATTCAATCCCTCACAATTGAGACCATTTAACTTTTTTTTTAAATGCTCTTGTAAACATGCATCATTAATATTTTGGTGATTTGTGTTGCCATGCATTTTGTTTCTCCTCCCCATCTAGATTGTGAACAATAGTTGGGTTGGCAATGATTCTTGTTGAATCCCACTTCCCACCTCGTTCAATCCGAAAACTAATTTTTTTTTAACCTGCTCTGTGCTTTCTGCCTTGCTGTCAACAAGCTAGCTATTCTGGTACCCATCCCCTTACTGCATATAGTTTACCACATCCTACTTTAGATAGGCCTTTTAGAGAAAATAAAAAAAGCCCAGCCTTTTCAACCATCCCAGATAGGAATAACCTAATCGTTCTGGTTTCACTCCTATAAATCCTTTTGCAATCCTCTCCAGTGTCTCTGTATCCTTTTTATAATAAGGCAGAAAAAACATAGAATACCTACAGCACTACCTTTAGTCAGTCATACAATGAGCATTCTTGTTTTTTGCTAAACCCTAAACCTGTCACTACGCTGCAATATCTGTAGTAGGAATGCTGAAAAATGAGACTTTTATCATTGTTTAAATACAAATCATTTCAAGAAACTATATAACTTACTCCACTGTCCAACAGTTTTCCCATCTTTAGTGATATCCCACTGGAAGATGGCATTCACCTTTTTCACCAACTCCTTGCCAATATCCTTAATGCGTCGACTGATTTCTGCAAATACAAGGTCACTTTGGAGCTCCTCTCTCTGAAGAAAATAGTAGTAATTGCAGTAAATCTGCTTTTGAGGTATTTCACAAAATAAGTATTTTGTTCCAATTCTATTCCACTATATTGACCTGAAACTACAGAACTTTAATGCATTCTGTAGTAGTATTATTTACATTTCATAACATTTAAACTCTCTATTCTATACCATTTGCAAAACCAAACTCTTTCACTGAATGCGGAGTATTACAAATTTAGGGAAGAGACAAATACTTTCATAGTCTGCAGACAGGAAAAGGCTGTTCAATTCCAAAGTAAAATACATCATACCATTAAGAATTCTAAACAAACAGAAGTACAGATTAAACCTCATTAAAATTTATTGAGAGAAAATTTTGGCTTAACCACAATTTATTTTAAGGTTCTTTTCTGGGTTAATTGATCATTAAGATTTCCCTTTTGATAAAGTTGTGAAAACTACCAATCTCAAGTTTGATGGCATATCTCTTTCTTTCAAAACACAAGTTATAGCTACAGCAAGTAGTAAAAATCATTTTATTGTTTTACAATAGCAGATCAGTTTCTTAAAATATTCATCACGAGTACACTTTATGCAAAATATATTTGGTGGTTGAATAGTTTTACACTTCCCTGTTATGCGCTGTTTATTCCCCAAATTTAATAATTTATGTTCTATCAGCACAAAACTTCCACTCAGAAAATGCAATAATCAATTCCATAAATCTTAGAATTTGATGAAAAAAATTGTGGTATGAGAATAGCTTATGTTGCAAATAATATGCAAATTTGCTAATACTTAGGACAAGGAAGAGAAATCCTGGGATTGGAACATGATCGCAGGTTCCTACACCATTTATCTCCGATCATTGATACTAATTTGGACTCAACTGAAATAGAATTAAGGAAACCTTGTACAACTCATCATCTACCATATCAAGCAACTTGGTCATTAACAGCAATCCTCCCTATTGACCTTCATTTGGAGAAAACAATGAAAAAAAAACAAAGTGACAACTAATTTTTGGCTGGGAAGAACTTCCATGTCCAGTAGTAAAAGTCCATCTGCAGCCCAACATTTGACTGTTAACTTCAGCTTATTGTAATAGAGTTGACTGATGGCTGCCAAACTATACCACATTCAATGGCAAAACCAAAATGATGGGAAGCTAGTTCAATCTCATCTATCCATCCATCATAAATAGATTTGGCCAGGAGAGGGATGGTATCAGTCCTTAAGATGACAAAGCATTCTTGAAACAAAAAGTGCATCCCATCATATGTGGTAACACCATCTTGCTAACAGGGCAGGCTAAAGAGATCTATTAACTCACAACTAAGAGATTCGAGGGAAATTAGCATCAGCAGAATGATATGACACTAGATAAAGGATAGGCTGAGAAAACACAAAGTTCCCAAATATTCCCATATTTTGAATGATACTTGAAATATTTTGTGCCAATCCCACTAGCATCCATGAAATACATGGTCCATTTTTGATGCCTATTTCTCTTCCTGGGCTTCACTGCCTGATACATGTTGCATATGGTGGACACCCTACAAACTTTTAACTTGAGAATTGCAAACAGGATTCTACACATATGGCAGGAAACACATTTACATAGGCAAACAGCCTACAGATTGGGTTTTCATTGATCTGAATATTGCATGTAATAGGCTTTGGACTCTAGCAAACAAGACAGCCACTTAATGAAAGCTTGGCCTACAGACTGAATGAAGTCACTGATATCTGATGACACTGCAACTTCGAAGGATTTGCAGGAAGAGTAGCTCACAGCTAAAGTGACCATGTGTACAGCAAATCATATGGTATTTGGTCACACAGCTTGTTGCAGGAGACATCACAATTGTTATAGCCTCATTCTGGAAGTTAACCTCCGGAGACAGTTATGATGTCCTAGGCCTAATAACCAAGTTCATAGTGCAAAGTCTCCTGTGAGAACATCTCCATTTATTTGCACACTTTTCATTGGAATCTTGTTTAAACCTCCCTGCTACTTCCCTTCCTTCCTCTCTTTGTGAAGTACCCAGAAGAAGCTCTACAAATAAGTACACACAATTTCAGAAGACATTAGTTCAGAGTGTTTAACATAGAAGATATCAAAAACTTGTAGTTTAAGTAATGAAAACAGTTAACACAAACAAAACATCTTTCAAAACTTCGGCTCTTTTATGCAAGAGCAGCCGAGGACCATTTCAATATACCGGAACCACCTATGTTTTGCAGGTGTGAGAGCAAGAACTGGCACCGTCAAATGTGGAAATGAGGCAGCGTAAAAGTGCCGAAAGAAAGCTACAACAAGTTGCCACATACAACAAAAGAAAGGCAAGTAAAAATTCATTTTTTTAAAAAATATTATTTAAAGTACCTTTTCTTTTAATTTCCAGAAATATTTTGCTAACCACCAGAGGGCTGTTTTTCAAAAAAACAGATTATAGGGAAAATAATTAAATAAGCATTTAGCTTTTGTTTCTCCTGAAGTGAATTAACTCTCAATCTTTCCAGATATATAATTAATATGATGTACAAGTCCTTTCCCTGTGGGCATTCACATGTCTCTTGTAAGACTATGCAATATATTTGCACCTTTGGTTCATAAGTCAATGCTCTCCAAAAAAAAAACTTCTAAAAAATTAATTTCTTTCAGCCAACTGAAATTTTCTTCAAATCACCCAACTTACCATGCCAATGTCATTACTTTTGGCTTTATAAATGGATTCCTCCAGAACAACATAGCCTCCTGCAAGGACAATCTCATTACTTTCTTTGACCTAACGGATAGAAGGGCAAAGACAGTATTAAAGCCAAAAGGTGCAATGCTTAAGTTAAAAACTGAACTCACAAACCAAGTGTAAAATACTGCGCTTCAAGCACATCGACTATATTTCTACACGTTTAATAAAACAGCTCAGAACTACACATACTCTAAAGGCTAGTTCAATTTTTTCAAAGTGTATGATCAATTTATCCGAATAATACGCATAATGGAAGGCTGGGTGTGAATTTCCGTAAGTGTTTTTCTGGTCATTCACCATAACCTCATTGAGACAAGTTACTAATCCGATAAAGGCATAAACAAGGGTACAATAAATGAGAGAAGTCTTGGTGAAACCTATCTTGACTTAGATTAACTATGTGAGATAACAAGGTGTAGAGCTGGATGAACACAGCAGGCCAAGCAGCATCAGAGGAGCAGGAAGGCTGA